GAATGAGGTTTACAGATTTTGGAATAAGCCATCGGATATTTCGAAATTATTTCAAAATAACGGAATGGCAGTGTAGACGCTCACATTGTTGTTTCAAAATAACGCTAGTTATCTCAAAATAACGGTGCAGTGTAGACGCACCCAGTGTGACCAAACTTAGCAGACGGCTAAAGAACTGAACTGGTGTGGTGATCCTGCTCTTTCTAAGGTCTGGGTTGTTGGTACAAGCTTCTACTCCAACTGCCAGACAGCTCCCGGTCTGTGCATTATTACCATGAAATCAACACGTCATGTTAAAACCCTGAAACGAACAACTCTCAACAAAAACACACAACTCACTGTGTTGTTGCACTATTTTAATACAGCATTAAAATGCTATGATACTAGAGAAAAGCTGTCTACTATCCAGCTAATAAGGCACATGTCGGAATGCCATTTTATGGACAATCCATAACAGAGGCTTTACAGTCTTTTCAGCAACACAGTCACTGGTTGAGTGAGTTGTCATCTTGGTTGCTGAGATAGGACTGGTCCCTCTGAGGCCTATGTCCATAGGTTTTTGTTTTTAAGCTGTACACATTTATTAATAGTTACAGAAAAGGAAATCGTACAAACTGGCAACTAAAATGGGCAAGGTCAATGGGCACAACTGGTTAAAAACAAACAAATGTCATAATAATTAAGCTAATTTTTAAAGCTGCAGAAATTAATAAGATACGGTTTTAGCGCTAATATACAATGTAGTGACTGCTGCACTAAATAACCTTTTAAAGGAAACAAAAGTCCAGTACAGGGTTAGGCAAACCTTCCATTTAAACATGGTTTAAAAACAAAATCCATTACATAATCAAAGCTACATGAAATGTAAAGTGTAAAAATGCTTCAAATACGTGCACATGCATATTCTATCACACTATGAATTCTAATTAAAATAGACACAAATCCCTACAACAATTTATCTTGATCCTTTTCCATTATGTCCTTTGATTGATAATATTGCTTTAGCCAGAATTGCATAGCAGCTCTCACAGTTTATTGTCTCCAAACTGTCATGAATGTCAGTTTGTCAAATGATGCCCCCACACCTACCCTCGCATTATGAAAACAAAATCCCTACAATACAAAAATTGAATATTTGTGTTCCAGAATTTCTGAAAGCTGAATCATTACTGTGCTTTCAGCATTTACCGTGTCACTCACAAGGTCATAAAGTGATAGTATAATATCATCCAATCCTTACGTATACATCTAGTTATAGCTTTTCCTAAAGCGGCAATACTTCTCAAAATACACATATAAATAAACTGCATAAGCACATTAATAGACGTCTATGCACTTGAATAATACATTGGTTACTTAATACTGATATTTTCATCCTAGGAAAACAAAAACAATATGGCTTAAAGAATTGCAAGGGTTTTGTCAGAATTATGTACCAACTTTCATATAATATTCTATGTAGACAATATTTCCTTCTTAATGTAGTTCTGTTGCATACTTTATACAAACAAAAGCATTGTAAAAAAAACAAAAATGTAAATTACTTCCATAAATATTTTCTTGAGGATATACCCTTAGTTTTGCAAAATACTTAAGAAAACTCTTACCTCTGTTAGTATTCTAGTTGAGAGGAAGGCCCTTTTGAAAGCTTCCAAGTTGTGAAAACACTTTTTTAAAAAACCCCAAAAACAAACAATACTATTTTTCTTTTTAAAAAAGGCCCTCAAATATATACAAAAAGTTACTGCGAAGAGTTTCCAGATAAGATAACTCAGTATTACAAGAAATATTTGTAACCATTCAAAAATTTTAACATCTAAAAAGGTTTCCAAAATACACACATAGTATTAAAACAAAACAAAAACTGAAACGAACTCCGTCAAGTATAACTCAAGATAAATACACATCTGCAAGTAAAACTGTAAAATACTTCATACGGGGGTAAACATTAATATCAATGAACTACACCTAGTAACTGCACACGATTGTCCCTTTGAAATTCATCCTAAGAATGCAAACCATCATCCATCTCTCTAAAATCTCTACCAGCCTCTGAACGCTTAAGCAATATAGCAACATTAATGGACAGCAGTGCTTTTTGTGGATGTAAAACTGATATGCACTGGTATCAGGAGCAGAGTGATGTCTTAAAGAATGACATTGTGAAGGGCTAAATTCCATCAAACTTCTATTTATGTTGGCAATATCAAGTGAGAAACACATGTTGAGTCAGTGTATGTTAACAATGCTTGCATGTTGATAAATTATTGCATGCTGTGCATGACTAGCACTTAGAGTATGCACTGGACACACATACAACTGCAATCTATAGAGAAACCATCTATTTATTCTAATACTTTCAAATGGTCTTAATTTTCATCTACAGTTTTAAGTAGTTTGATTTTTGGAATAATGGCAACAGCTTCAAGAGTCTGCAATTCATGGCTAGTCTAAATCCCATGTTGTACAAAAAGGTAAAATCTAGAGGATCCTTCTATAAATGGTTTCCTCAGAGATACATAACTTCACATTATAGTTTACAGACTAGGTCCCATATAATGGGGAACTTTAAAATACACTTATCTGTAGAAATAATATTTATCTTTTGTGTATTTATTTGCAAGTAAAAAGCAATTTTGAGACACCAAGGCCTTGAATTTTGTTCATGCGGCATCATAATGTATTTTATGCCAGCAGCAGTAGAAACTGGGTAACATGGGGCCAAGATTTACATTATGGGGGAGATGTATCCTCAGGTGGTGCAAACTGATGTAGCCCTTTCAACTTCAGTAGAGTCACAGTGATTAACACGAACTGGGGACCTGTCCTATATATTTATTTCAAATAACTGTTTTTTTTCCTGAGCAATAGTAATCCAGAAGATAGGTTCTGATTTCCTGAAGGAAGGAAGAATTATGATTTACATAGGCAAATGAATGCTAAAAATCTCCAGAGGACACAAGGAAAAGGGTGTGGTGCACAGTTCAGTTCACAGATAGATACCAATCTAATATTCGTAATTAACTTTCCCACATGTCAGGTCAAATCCTACTCTGCCGTGTGCAGCTATCCACACAATCAGTGAAGCCACTTGTGTGTATTCTTTCAGGTAGTATTGGACCTTTAATTTGTACTGAATTAAAAATGTTTTCACTGAGACTTGCTTTTAATTTTAAAAAAAAGGGCTAAAATACATTCAGGGAACACCAGTTGATGAGTTAAAAAAATAGAGCTGATCAAAGTAAAAATGGTAGAAATTTTTCATGAAAATCTGAGGGGAAAAACTGATCCTATATTTTTTGGGTCCAAATCAGAAATGTTGATGAAAATGTTCAATTTTGGAAACTTTCAGTTGGTTCTATAGATGATCAAAAGTGGGATGAATTTTTACCAAAAGAGAGAGAGCAAAAATCATTTTCTTTTGGTCAAAATTATTTTTTTTATAAAAAAATTGTAAATCTGAAATTCAGAAAATGTCAACCTTTACTAAAAACTATGCCTTTACTAAAGACTAACAACTCTGAGCTACTATAGGTTAACAGTGAAATATGTTCCAATATTGACCTTTACATCCATATACAATAAGGATACTTACCAATAAAGATAAATACCAAGAGCTTAATATTCCACTCCTACAAATAATCACATTGGAAGGGGGCAGGAGTACACTTGAAACTTGGTGTTTGGTCATGTGGGTCCCCCTCACCCGTGCCCCAGGTCTACCTCTTGGAGTGATGGGTTTTTTGGCCAGGCACTTGAGTGTAGTCTGGATATCCCAAAACATTCAGAGAGGTGAATGCCAGATTTCATCTCTGTGAATGCAGGTACAGTAAGCTTTATGAGCTGGCATCCTCCGGCCCTCTGGTATTTCATGCTATTCACTCTTCCTCTTCGCTCCGTGGACTGCACTTTATGTCTTGCTGTGTTGATACAAATGGGAAGCAGACACAGAATAAATTCTGCATGAAGCAACATCTACTCCTACCAGACTCAGAGAGGAGCAGGACTCTTTCTGCCCCCTCATCCTGGCTTATATACTTGTGGCACCCCCAGCAGGTGAAGTAATTTTTATGGACTCCGGAGAGAGGGGAGGAGGCCAGGCATATTGCTTCCTGCTTTGCCAATAGTCTTAGCTCCTTTACTTCCTGCTTTTGGGCCCTTCTTCTCCAGCATAAGTGGAAAGGAGGATCTCAATTCAACCCTTGATTATTTCAAATGTGCTTACCAAGTATTAATTAAAGATGCACTAACTAGGCCACCAGAAACACTACAGCTATGTCTACACTGGCAGCTTCTTGCGCAAGAACTCTTTTGCGGAAGAGTTCTTGTGCAAAAACTCTTCCACAAGAGCTCGTCTACACTGCCATGTGCTTTTGTGCAAGAGCATCATTGGCAGTGTAGACGCTCTCTTGCACAAGAAAGCTCTCATGGCCATTTTAACCATGGGGGCTTCTTGTGCAAGAAATTCATGTTGCTTGTCTACACTTCCCTCTTCTAGAAGAGCTCTTGCACAAGAGGGCTTATTCCTCATGGGGAGAGGAATAACTCTTCTGGAAGAAGCCCTGTTTTACAACGCTGTACTGTAAATTTACTTCTGGAAGAACGCTCATGCAGTGTAGACAGCTGGCAAGCTTTTGCAGAAGAACGGCTGTTCTTGCGCAAGAAGCTGCCAGTGTAGATGTAGCCCACGTTTGATGGGTTTCATCCTACATCTTATTTGGGTACATTATGCAAGATTAAATGGTAACTGCTTAAACATCACAGGTGGACCATTTGTGGGGGAGGGAGATCCTATTAGGCATCAAAGGGATGTACTGCATAGGGTAGCTTGCTTGCATAGTCCTTGCGTGGTTTCTACCAGCAACACTCATTCTTTCAAGAACATTCAAGTCACTAACTAAAATGGGTTTGGGTGGGGAGGGGAAATGCCAAAGCCCCGAAAAGATAATGGGAATTGGACCAGGACCCCGGATCCAAATGCAGTTGATTTGTGTCTTCAGTTAATGTGTTGACATGTCTAACATGTAGGATAATATGATGACATGAGTGTTTAACTTCCAGTAAGTATGTTGTAAAAAATGGTTATTCTATACATATGCAAATGATAGTTGTATGAAAGCCACATAAGATGTATATTTGGGAACCTTAGTTTAAAACATACCCTAGAAATCTGTAAACAAAAAACATAAAGCAATATTGAATGTGGACAAATAATATTTAAAATGGAGCTAATGTAAAAAAAGCAGCGCTTTTGTGTAGTAATGTCCTTCAGTTGATCTATGTTAAGAACCTGCAGCTTTTTAAATTACAGCCTGTGATGACAGCTACAAATGGATGTTCACCAACAGTGTTCCCTCTTTTAGTGGTTGCCACAAATTTGAAATTATTTTGAAACTGAGGGGCAGGGTAATAGTTTTATGGAGAAAACAGCTTTTCTCTTAGCTTTTTGTGGTGCGGTTTCCTAGCTTTTCCTGTCGCTGTAGGCTGTGTCAAAGAAATTGCTGCTACTGTACCATTAAGTGCTCAAGGGAAAAAATTATAGCTAGTGTATTGGGTGGCCATCTTGCAATCTTTCCCTTTATATTGCTCACACTTCAAACAATAGATCAAAATTAATACGGAGGCCAAATTTTAAAAACTGACCTCTAACCTGGCATGCACAATTTTTCTTATTTCATGGGCAAATTAAGAAGCTTTGTTTAGAAAAATCAGTCCCTAAATATATTTTTCAGCCTTCAATGAAAAATGCACTTGGAAATACTAAATATCCCACTTGACCGAGGCAGTCAAAATCTGTGATTAGTGTTAAATTTCAGTAATTTTTTTTTGTTTTCAGTATGTTTGCAGTTATGGTACTGCTAACTGGGCAAAACTAGTTTCAAAATGTTTAACTTAATATTGTATTGTAATTAGCAGTTTTCATCCAACAATGTCAAAATGCCTTTAGACATTAAATAAACCTCACAACACCCTTGTGAGGTAGGTATGTTAAATATTATCACCCTTTTTTTGCACACGGGGAAACTAAGGCTCAGAGAATTGCCAATGTCAAGCAGCAGGCCACTGGCAGAACCCAGTACAGAATTCGTGTCTTGTCTCCTATAACACTATTTTAATGAGCAGACCTCCATAAATTGTGAAGCCTGTCGGAGGTGTGTTTGTGTGTGAAGTTTCTAAATACATAATTTCTGCCCTAACAACACTTTGCCCTGTTCACAGACAGTCATGGAAATGGTAAAAATTTCACTCTGGATCAACTTTGTGAAGATCTTCACACTTCTCAAGGGACTGCTTGTTACAAGTTTTTAATTTGCTTCCCAGGATTCTGACGGGTTGTACTGGTAACACCTCAGCCTACCTTGGCATGAGATGACAACGCTGCATTGGATATGTCAAATTTAACTTTGAAATGGCTTTAACTTGCTATGCGTGTTTAGAATTTAAAACATCCTCACTACATTGCAGTCACACACGCATTCCATTTCCTAATGAAAGATTCATGAAAATAAAAAAGGGTTAATATCTTTTTCAATGTCCTCCTGTGGTTTTCTAGAGCAGTGGATGATACACACACGTCTTATTAATTTTGTCCTTTTGCCAATGTACTCTTAAAAATACATATAAAACCAGGATACTCTCTTGAAGTACTTTCATTTCACAACATTCCCAAATCTCTGATAATAGAGTTTTCTTTCTAACAGGATCCTCCAACGCAAAGTTCCTTCTACCTAAAATAGGACAACCATATACAATTACTACATTTCCTCTAACTTATATAGATGTTTTAGAAAGACAGAGAAGAGGGAAGGTTACGTTCTTCATGCCCCATATAACCCCTGTGGCTACATATGTATATACTTCTTATATTACTAACAAATTTGCACAGTAGAAAACAGGAGTTAAAATATTTCCAGAAAGTGGCTTACAAACTAGTATAAATATAAAGTCTGGCTACTCTCTCAATTAAGGCTTGGGGACAAATTTAATCATTCTCATTCCCCATTATTCACAGTAAATTTAGTGTGCTTGTGGCCTAATGAATAGCAACTACACATAAAGGGCCCATTTAAAAGAAATTATATGACAAGAGAAGGATATCAGTCAATCACAGCCTGAAGAAAGCAAATGCTATTCTTCCCATCAGATGCTGCAATCCTTACTGATAATCTGTCCAGTTGTTATTCTCCTTTTCCATACAAAAACCACTCCCTCAAACAATTATACACTTGGTTTTACCCTCGCTGAGTCCACCTATGCCCAACCCAAATTACACTGCGTCATGGAAGTCCAAGAAAGCAGCAGCGCCGAACTTTCTAATCTTCCAAAGCAAGGGAAACAATGTTTCCCTTTGTTAATGCTGGGGTTTGTTGAATCTTCCTTTGTCTTGTCCTATAACAGGAATAATGTTCATGGGGTAAGTGAGGACTCCCAATTAATAGCCTTGCAGGGTAGCTAACTCCTGCAAAAAGCCATTCATAATGTTTACTCCCAGTGAACATGATACCTTCCCTAACAAACAGCACTTTTCTTCATTTCACTTGGCCATGATATAGGAACTGTGTAAACAATCAAGAGAAACCACAAGATCGGTTCCCCATTGTGAACACTTTCAGAAACACTGTTTGATAGATATATAGATAGCTATATAAAACACACCGTAGTCCTATAAATATATCTTGCACGTATACACATACACAGGAAAAGTGTTACATTCTATTAATGGTAAGGCATATTATTAGTTTAAAGATAGGCAAAATTGGCAATCTGTTTTAGTTTTTTATTTCTTCTCATGGGTTCCGTGTTGCTGTTGACTGCGTGCTGCCAGAGGGTCTCGCGGGAGGATGGGGACGGAAGAGGCTACCCTGGAAGGTTTATTGCACACGGCGGCAGTAGTAGCCCAAAACTTTGCACTTCTCACACAGATGCTGAGGATGCTCCTTACTCTGATCTGAAACATCCAGGCCATCTGGCTTCTCCAGGGGTCTCTGCAGGGAGGAAAGGGAACAGAGTATGCTCCAGTAAATGTCACTGACAATTGATCTTTACTAGGCCTACAACTCTCCCACTTTTCAGGTTATTTTGCCAGGCTTCCTCCCAGTGCAGCTAATGGCGCTATACATCTTTCTTGAGAAGCCAAAAGATGTTCCCAGCCACCTGGCTCTGCAGTGCTGGGAACTGGCTACATGGCTTGAATGCCATTCCCTTTCCCACAAACCTTTATTTTAGCTATAGTGCTAAAAAGATTGAATTTATAACCTCACACCATAAACCAGCCTCATTTATTGACTTGATGCCAGTGCCCCAGGCATGCTGGGGTGGGGAGGGTAACACCATTAGCATTCAATGCTAATACCAACAAGTAATCTTGCCAATGTTTGGTTATGAAACAAGTGACGGAGGTTTGCCTGACACATACTTCCATACTTGGAGAGTCGGAATTTCATAAGCACAGCAGCTGCAAAATGGGGGAAGAAAACGGCTCAACTAGTAACATGGTTAAGTATTTGTAATAACAGCTGAATAAAATACAGGGACAGGAAATCAGTAAAACTCCTTCGATTTAAGAGATCTTGTACTTTACATTTCCGTGACACCTAAAAGCTTTCACCTTCATTTAAAATGCAAAACACCCACACTGTATATCAAAGCAAGGCAGATTGTTTGAAAGACCTGATAGGTACAAAGGTGACAGAGACATAAAGATGAAACAATATAGTCTATCGTTTAAAATGGGGATCATGAATAAAGGCAGCTTCTTTGGCTTTCCAAGAGTGTACTTAAAAGGCAGACTGTTTGCTTAATGACTTGCAATGAAGAAGACTATGAGTGTTTCAGAGAACTCTGGATAATGATAGTGAATGACAGTGAAATATGAAAATAAGCCAAAGATTTTCCACTGTGTTAGGAACAGAAACTTGCTGCTGACATCTAAAAATATTATTCTTGGGGAGGGAAGTGGAGAAATATAAAATAGATATTTAACCCTGGTCACTATTCTGATTCATTCCCAAATCCTCACTCTGATCTTTTCTGAAGCAATAAAATGTTAAGAGCATTTGATGTTCTAAATTATTGAGATTTCTAAATTAATAGCAACTAACTAGATGCTCATGATGGTCTCTTCTGGCTTAAAGCCTATGAGATTATTAGTTTAAATATCTGCTCTTCATTCCAGGCCAAACCAAAAAGGCCATTAGAAACTTATAGTGCAGGTAGTAACAACCCGAAGTTGAAGGGGTACATTTTACTGCACTCTTAGGCTATGTCTAAACCACATCCCTTTTTCGAAAGAGGGATGTAAATTAGGCAGATTGAAAGTGTAAATGAAGCGGGGATTTAAATATCCTGCGCTTCATTTGCATAATTGTGTCACGGCATTCTTTAGAAAAAGGATATTTCGAAAGTGAAATCGCCATCTAGACACGGTTCAAAAAAACCCACCCCTTTTTCGAAAGACCCGCGTCTAGACGGAGGTTTCACTTTTGAAATACCCTTTTTCGAAAGAACGCCATGACGCAATTATGCAAATGAAGCGCGGGATATTTAAATCCCTGCTTCATTTACACTTTCAATCTGCCTAATTTACATCCCTCTTTCGAAAGACGGATGTGGTTTAGACATGCCTTTAAAGAAGAATAAAATAAACCAAACTCTACTATATTCTACTTAGTCTCAAAAAAGATAATTCTAACTTCTTGTTGTGTTCATCCTTGTTTCTGACTCTTGAGATGAACCTTTTCACTGAGTTGATTTTCAAGCTGGACACTAAGAACTTGGGCTTAAATAAAGTTATTAACTGGTTAACACCCTACAAAGGCAATTTCCCTCACCTTTGATATTCCCATTTCCACATCAAATACTATGAATGGGACACGTCCAACCTGACATAATTAGCTTCATTAACACTGGTCCTACAACTGACAGGTAACTGCTTTTACTGTTATATAGACCATGGATTCTGTAACTTCCACTCCAACTCATCCGATGAAGAGGGTTTTACTCACAAAAACTCATGATCTAATATATTTGTTAGTCTCTAAGGTGCCACAGGACTGCTCATTATTTTCATTGATTGCCTTTCACACATAGTAATAATAGCAAATGGATTAATTCTATGGAGATTGCCAATAGTTTGTTCATCCCTTTCTCTAGAGTACATTGCCCAATGCTTTGTCCACTCAGGCCAGATTTTCAACTGGTATAAATATGCATAGTTCCATTTACTTTAAGGGACTATCACAGGATTAAACTTAATCACAGATGTCAGTACTTTACTGTATCAAGTACAGTGTTCTCAGCATTCAAAGCCTATGAAAAATTCCCACTGACTTCAACAGGCTTTGAATCAGCCTATTAATGAATTCCTGAGGAACAGAGCATTAGTATTTGGGATGAGAACTCAGGAACTTGAATTCTATCCCTGTGCTCATTTCATGAGGCCACACTGTGGTTCTGCCAGCCTAGTAGTGGCTAGCAATATACAGAGGGGGAGATGACAGTTTTTCCCAATTAAAACCAGACCTTGCATTGCTTATTCACCTTGGTAACTTGGTTTTATTTATTTTAATTGGGAGAAACTGTCATCTGTTCCTCTATTCCCCCCAAAGATTTTTTTCACACGTCAGCCAAAGAAGTGTGTTAGGTAATATATATTTTTTCTGAAGTGTGACCCCCAACTGCAATACAGTCTAAGTTGAGGTTCAGACACTACAAGAGTTAATTTGTGCCCCCAGAGAACCGCTTCTGAGACCTTTGAAATGCTACCCTTAAAACAGAGTAGCCATTCGGCATGGCTCCGATTGCTTCTGCATGATAGCTGTGCTCTGATTAAAGAGCAAAATACAGCAGTTATCATGTTTATTGATATAAGACATATTTTTTTTTAAACACAAGGCCTCGGGAATAGTTTTTCCTGGAAATAGTGCAAAGGCCGTTGGGAATGCCTTAGAGTGCCAAGAGTTTCTTGGACTGCTGTCAGAAACAATACCTCTTCGTGGTTTGTGTTCCCTCTGTAATGACTGAGCTCAGCTTCTTTGGCCTGGGAGACACTTAGATTTCAGAAATGTTATTGTTACCAGTACGTTACGACATACAGACGGGGGAGAGAAGGGTTATGAGCACAGGAAACCAGGTTGCTTGGGGCCAGCTGGAAGGCACAGAGCAGGTTAGGGCTACATTTCTGATGAGGCTAGAGGGCTGTGTCTCCAGAAACTACACTGTGTACATTGCATCCAAAAAAAAGTGTTGATCCAACATTTAAATGCACTGAAGGGCTTGGGTCTGGTGTGTATCTAAATTATTTGCTGTTTAAATTAATCTGCTCCATTTCTATTATTTTTGTGTATCTCTAGTAATGGTAAAACAAATATTTCATAACCAAAAATGTGGAGAGATAAAAGATGAAAACAGTTTTCCTTTTACACCATGTAAAAGGCCCAGAAGGGTGTAAAGAGGCACTCAACGCCCTGTGTATAGCAAGAGCAGAATTCCCCTACTACAGACATAGTGCAGTCCAACTATAAGCCTGCTTCCTGAGGTTCTGAGAGATGCATCTGGACAGAAGGGGGAATAATGGTTTGAGGGAAGGAACTGTTGAGGGCAAGCTGTAAAGACTCTGAGGCTAAAGTCCAGGGAATGCGTCTGCTCTACTGCTTTTTTTTGGTGGAAGAGTAGACGTGCTCTTTCGGAAGCCCTGTCTTCCTCCTCCCATGAGGAAGAAAAAAGCCTCTTCTGAAAAAACTATCGGAAAAAGGTATGCAAATTGCGTACCTTTTCCCGATAGATCACTGTAGTGTAGACATAGCCTGAGCTAGCAGCTGTAATGTAGACAAGCCCACAGAGATATTTAAGCAGTACAAGTGCTTCAGCAATGTAGACACTGAACACTGGAAAGAGTTTTTCTGTCATTGGCACAAATCCCTCCATTTGAGAGAGTGGATGAAAGCATTCTTCCATAAATCTAGATGCATCTACCAGTAGGGTTGCCAGCTGGTTTAACCAAAAATACCGAACACTCCCCCAAAAAAACCACTGGGGAAAAAATTCTGTTGAGGGAAAAAAAAAGGGGGAGACCAAAGTTGGTGAGCAAAAAACCAAAAAAGGACCCGGAGCGTTATTAAACAAAATAACAACAACAACAAAACCTCCCCAAACCCCCACAGCATTAAAAAAAGCAAGACCCTTTAAGTGCATGCAGCATCAGAATAGGGATTGGAAGAGCAAAGCGGTTGAGCACTAAGACCCAGGGAAGACATTGCTTCCCCTTGCTTCAGGTCTTTAGGCTTTTTGCTGGCAGCCATCTTCTTTTATTGGTCGAGCCAGAAGGCAGCCTCCCTGCGGAACCAGGTAAGCAGGGGATCTGTGGGAATGGAGGTCTGGGGGGAGAAGGGGGCATGGACTGGATCCAGTTGCAGAGCGTGTTGTAGGGTTGCCAGGTGTCCGGTATTTTCTGATTTTTTTTACCAGACAGGAGGCGAAAATACCAGACTGTCTGGGTCAGTACCGGACACCTGGCAATCCTATCTACTAGAATGGGTTAGCTTGACCTAACTATATTGCACATGGCATGACATTTTTCACAGCTATGAGCAATGTAGCTCTAGGTCAACCTAACTTTCAGGTGTAGACCAGGCCTAAGTTATGTCAAGAGCCTCCTCACCTCCTCAGCACCCCAAGAACAGAAAGGCACAGAGGTGGCTTAAAGATATCACAGTCCCCTGCTCTGGGCTGCAAGTTCTGTGTTGCACCGCTTCAAGGCCTATCAGGGCCTCTGACTTATGATTCTTTGATCACAAGTGCCGGGGGCTGGAAAAATAAAACACCAAGAAGTAGAGAAGATAAAATAAAATATAGCAATAATTTCTCCATTGGGAAAATGGCTTTTTGTTTTCTGAATGATTTCATGGGGAAAATACCCATTTTTTTCCACTGAATTTTTTCAAGTTTTTATTGAAAATCTGAAACTGTTTCAAACGGAAGAAACTGG